AAGAGTCCATTTGCCTCCAGTGGGGAGCTGGAAAATGCTGAAAATACACTGTGAGCTTTCCAAGACACTTACCCCGAGACATTCTCTTCCATCAAAACAAAGCCCAGAGAAGCGAGGAGCAGAGAGAGAACTTTGAAAGACATCATTTTCTTGGCTGGTTTCTCAGCTCAAAAGCAGCAGATGATGCAGATGTCCACCCCTATAACAGATGGGACACAAAAGTGACAGGACAGTGAACCCAGGGGGATGTGCGGTGGCTGGGCACGTGCCTGTGCTTGTAAACGCGTTTCTTCAGTCCTAGTGCTTGGAGCAGCCTTCTCCATCCTACAAAGCCCTCCTCTGCCGTTCCCAGCTAAATTACTTTTTCAATGCCAAGGCTCTTTCCCACTGTGGTGTCTTGTAATGTTGGTTCCCTGTACTTTTATTGTAACCATCAAATTCATTGTGGGTTGCGCGTTCCCCGAGGGAAGGGCTTTGTCTTCCCCCGTGTTTACAAGCTGACCCTGTGGGTACCTCATTGTGCTTGAAGGGTCGATTCAATCTGGAGTATGTGAACGGGGACGCACGTCGGATCGGGCGATTCAGCAGCAATGGCATCCTGCTTATCCCACACTGCAGTTCTGCAGGATTTAGGAGCCTGATCTAATTTCTGGGAGGCTTTCTGTTGGGATGGATAATGCCTTATGTAGGGACTGGAGCCAGGGGCAGTGAATATCAGTTATGAAAAATACCCCATGGACAGTGACAGGATCAGATTGCAAGATTTATTAGTTTCAAGCTGTTCCTAGTCCTCACGTCCACAGCTCAGCTCCATAGTCCTTGGACATCTGAGCCCTTTTAATTACTATTCCAGCTCTGCAAAGTCCGTAGAAAAATGGTTTTGATCGTGGCTCACATACATGTTGTGTCCCTCACCTCACTCTTTGTTGTAGCTGTTTCTGGAAAGTGCGTGGCAATGGAGAGCTGCTGTGAACAGGAACGATACAGTAACAAAAACAACAGGTCTAGATCAGGACTCGAGTATCCCACCCTTCAAAAATGTATTCATACGTTGACAGAACTCTACTCCTCTAAGTAGTTATTTGTACTCTCACAGCAGCCCAATTATTGTTTTGGAGAGAGCAACAATTTGCAAGTTCGGATGTTGTTTGTAATTGAGGCATTTTTTATTTCTGGAAAACTGTGACATCTTTTACAAATGTTTTCAGCCCTTCCTATTCAGTGAGAAAAATACTAAATGTGTTATCTCAGCTACATCAAGTTCTGAGGAATGCTCTGAAAAGCAAAGGTGTAATACGCTGAACGCTGGCAAAATCCCTAAAATATTTAGAGCTAAAGCAATAAAAGACAAATAGTCACAGAGTGTGTGAACAGCAGGAGTAAATTCCGTTACACAAAAAGCTGAGGAGTATTTTAAATGAGAATGGAAAAAAAAGCCATGATTAAATAACTGAGGTTTCCCTCTTACTTGCTTTTCATTTCGTATATTGGTGATACAACGGTGGGCACGATGATGGATCTGAAAATAGTGAAGTTGTGCAAGAATATAATTCTGCTTAGGGTAATTATTTATGAACTAAGAGAGGAAGCGCATTGCAGCCTTAGTTTTAATAAAAGGCAGCACTCCTTCTCTGCAGAATTTACCCAGACAGGGAGGAAAAGCAGTCCACATTTTCAGAGACTCTTGCAAAACCATTTCTGAGTTAAGACGAGACCCCTTTGCCTGCGTGATGCCCAACTGGACCAGTCCAGCTCTGCTAGCTCTGCCTCAGTTTGCTGCAACACCTGCGCTGCGTTGATCCAACAGCTCGTCCTTCATCAAAGGAGGAGCGACTGGTGGGAGCTTTGAGACACGAAGGTCTTCCAGTCCCCTGCCCAATACTCTCTGCTCTGGGAGAAGCGTTACCCCTGTTTTACCCATAGCTGGTAGGTCCCAAAAAGCAACCAAGAACCAATTTCTCCTCGTTTCCCTGTGTAGTCCCCGTTCAAAGGTGCAGATCCCAACCGGATGATTTGCCGTGTGCTGAATCCTCCTCCGAGATAACGGCCTTTCCCTCCCCAGCCCGACACGACCAGTGCTGCAGCCCGACACGACCAGTCTTTCTGCCCAGCCTCGCACCGCTTTGGGGGAAGCTCAGCCGAAGGGAAGGGCTGTCCCTGCCCTGCTACGGCTGCTGCCTGACGCTTCCAAACGCTTTGCACTCCCACTGTTATCGCAGGGAAAAAAAAAAAAAAGAAGGGTAAAAAGAATGTTAAAAAGAGAGACTGACATGGAGCTTCTTACCTTTCTGCTTCTCTGAAGCTGCCCTGAGGACTGCACCCCTGGTGCGGCTGCTGCCTGACGCTGCCAAACGCTTTGCACTCCCGCTGTTATCGCAGGGAAAAAAAAAAAAAGAAGGGTAAAAAGAATGTTAAAAAGAGAGACTGACATGGAGCTTCTTACCTTTCTGCTTCTCTGAAGCTGCCCTGAGGACTGCAGCCTTTCTGGTGCTCAGAGGGGACCCTGCAGAGCTTTTATAGCTGTTCGCTGTGCAGGACCAAGCCCAATTCCATGAGGTAAACAGGAAATCAAACACCTAATCGAAGCAATTCAAACCCACTTAGAGCTGCTTCATTAGGTCCATTGACCGACAGAGCAGGAAAATAACCTTGTAAAATATGTTTACATTAATGGCAATTAAACATTACGGTATCACAAAATGAAGAATGAGCATGCACTCTGGGCTTAATACAGATGGCATTGGTCTAAGCCTTAATTCCGTGTAGCACCACCTTCCATGGTAAAAACTTTCTTAATTTCCATCTTTTCTTTTCCAAGTGCAAGTGGCATCTTAGAGAGATTTACTCTGCTCCTTCCCTTTCTTACAGGAATAATTTGGCTAAAATCAATAGTTCCTATCATTATTTTTGTCACCATCAAGTCTGGGCATCCCAACTGTAGTCTGGACCCCTTGTGCAAACCCCAAGTACTGAAAATAGTGTTTATCCCCCCAAAATGGGCTCTCTAAGAGGAGAAAATCTGGGGTAGAGAGTGGAAACTAGTAAGGACTGGTGAGGCAGCACTGGTTAACGAGGTGGAGGGTGGTGGCACGGCAGCCGCCTGTGTGGGGTGAGGGATGGCAGCTGCACCTGAGCACCCATTTGGGGTTTTGCTGTCCTGAGCGGGTGATGGAGTGGTTCCCTGTGGCTCTGCAGCTGCTGGGGACGTGGGTCAGTGGGGCCACCACCTCACCCTGCCCTTGCACAGCTGGATCCAGGAGAGCAGATGTTCTGCAGATGTTGACGGTGCCGTCAGAACACAAGGGGTAAATCCGCTTCCCGCCAGCTCGGCTGGGGCTGCGTGCCCGGTAAGATGTTCTCCCCGGCGCCTGACCTGCCCCGCTTCCCCTGGGGCTCTCTGGGAGAACCTGACCCATTACCTTTGAACATGTAAAGCCTGTTTAGGGGCTGCTACCAGGTGTGTACCTGCTGCTCTGGGATCCTCACCACACCTAGATTCGATCTGTTGAAGGAGCAGAGCAGGAGTACGTTTGTGCCAGCCGAACCCCTGAGCCGAGCTCTGCTCACACCGTTACCGCAGCGAAGCAGCACCCGTGGCTGACCGTGCCGGTTTGCAGAGCACAGTCCCATCCGCAGCTTGGTTCCCCTGAACAGCCCGAACTTTTGCAGGAGGTTATCCAAGTTACAACCTTCCCCTCGGGTCTGCCAGCCTTTTTGTTTCTCCCTGTGGAGTTCAGGTGAGTTGCTGGGAGCAGTAACCCCGCACACCTGATGCAGGAGAGATGTGTGTGCCTGCCTCCTCTCCGGTTTGTGCTTTCTCAGTCAGCTACGTCACAGATTTGTGTGGGAAGAAGGTAGGGTTTCTGGTTGATGGGGCTGAGCAAGAAGCAGCCCTCGGTGGAATTGGAGTAATAATGGCAAGATCGGGGGTTTTGGCGTGGGAGAGGGTTTCGCTGGGCTGGC